AGGAGGAGGAGGAGGAGGAGGAGGAGGAGGAGGCTGCGCTATAAAAGCTGGAGACCCTGAGCTGCTCTGAAGTTGGCAGGAGGCGCTCAGAGCGGAGCTCAGACGTTGGCCGCCGGATGAGGCTCTTATCTGGATTAATCTGGTTGCTCCAGCTGACCGAACGTTTGGGATGATGAAGAGGAGGAGGCACGCGGCAGATGGAGGGAGGACGCCCGGAGCTCCATGAGCGGAGGATGTGACGGAAGGTGGAGGGATGGAGACGGCCGCCAGCTACGGAGATGCGCTCAACTTCTCCACCAATGACACCAACAACAGCTCCGGCTCCGGGGCGGAGGAGCGGGGCTCCAGCCTCCCCTTCCAGGCGGCTCTGGCCGCGGCTCTGGCTCTCATCACCTTCGCCACCACGCTCTCCAACGCCTTCGTCATCGCCACCATCTACCAGTCCCGGAAACTTCACACCCCGGCCAACTTCCTGATCGCGTCGCTCGCGCTCACGGACCTGCTGGTGTCCATCCTGGTGATGCCCATCAGCGCGCTCTACACCGTCCTGCAGACCTGGACGCTGGGCCAGGTGCTGTGCGACATCTGGCTGTCCTCGGACATCACGTGCTGCACCGCCTCCATCCTCCACCTGTGCGTCATTGCGCTGGACCGCTACTGGGCCATCACGGACGCGGTGGAGTACTCCAAGAAGCGCACGCCGGGGCGCGCGGCCGGGATGATCGTCACCGCCTGGGTCATCGCCATCTCCATCTCGCTGCCGCCCTTCTTCTGGCGCCAGGTGAAGGCGGAGGAGGTGACGAGCTGCAACGTGAACACGGACCACATCTTCTACACCATCTACTCCACCTTCGGCGCCTTCTACATCCCCACGCTGCTGCTCATCTGCCTCTACGGCCGGATCTACGTGGAGGCGCGGAAGCGCATCCTGAAGCAGGCGCACAACAAGCCGGGGAAACGGCTGACCTCTGCGCGCCTGATCACCAACTCCCCCGGCTCCGTGGCCTCCACCACCTCCCTGAACTACGGGACGAACGACGCCTCCTCCTGTGACACTACCTCCTCCTGCCCGAACGTGAGCCAAGTCAAAGTCACTGTGTCCGACGCGCTGCTGGAGAAGAAGCGCATCTCTGCGGCCAGAGAGAGGAAGGCCACCAAGACTCTGGGAATAATCCTGGGAGCCTACATCATCTGCTGGCTGCCCTTCTTCATCTACACCCTCCTAGTGCCTCTCTGCGACTCCTGCTTCCACCCGGGCCTCTTTGACATCTTCACCTGGCTCGGTTACCTCAACTCTCTGATCAACCCCATCATCTACACCATGTCCAACGAGGACTTCAAGCAGGCTTTCCACAAACTCATGATGCGCTTTAGGTGCTGCAGGGCGTGAGCCGTGATGGATGACGCTGGGATCCAGACGTGGAAAGGAAATAGGATGAAAAAATGGCCATTATGGGAATGTCCCCAAGTGACGTAAAAGCTTCATTTATGTTCCTGAAGTTTGATTTATGACCTCAGCGGGAAAGAGCAGGACGCCTGTGATGGAGTTTGGCTTTTACGGGCCTCTATAATGTGGCTTCTTAGGTGTCAAAAGGCAGAAAATGAATCCCAGCCATCCGTCATCTTTATGCTGCACAAAAAAACACCCAAGATGTCCAATAATCAGTCATATTTAATAGATCAGAACATGATTCTTTTATTTCAGGAGCTCCATCACCCACAAATACATCAAAGACTGTATTTTACAGTCTTAATATTTTAAAGCCTTTATTTTGTTGAATATAATGATTTTTTTTTGCCTGTTAAAGGTTCATCAACTTCCATATTTAAGCAAATGGTTACGACTGCAGCCAGAAAAATGACCTAAAAATGAGATTTTCTGCAGATTTTGGAACAGCTTAAGTTACCGGTTCAATGCAGGGGCTCTGAGGGACCCAACAGTGCAGGATGCACCCCCCCATCTGGGTCCCATGGATGCACATTTATAACACAGTTATTTTACATTCCCCTCTTCTGTCGTGAAAAGCACCTCCCCCTAAATCTGCAGCAACTCTGCAGACCTCTTCTCTAAGCTCCTCCAACCAGAACAGAACAGAAAATTGTTTTTTTTTCTATAATTTAATGATAAATGATGGAAAGCGGTGCATCTGTAGTGGCGTTTGGAGTCGACAGAGAAAGTGGATCTGTTCTCGTTAATCTACATAGCAGCGTAGTTTCTACGTCGGCCTCTCAGACCTGAACGGAGCAGAAACGGAGCATGTGGAGTCCAGGGGTTAAAGGTTTCCAGCCATTATTCATCTAAGTGTTGCTGGAACTGGTCCCACATTAGCTCTTAGGACACAGAAATACATTGAAACATTATTTCAAAAATATGGCATTTCGGAAAAAACGCAGTTATAACCCAAAGCAACACGGCGTTCAGTCAGACCAGCATACCCATAGTCAATAGATATGCACAAGACTTCATTCAATTCAATTTATCTTTATTGTCATTGTCACAAGAATAACGAAATTTTAAAAAAGTGCCAATCGATCGATCAGTGCATATGCTTTAAAAACAAAAACAAAAATCACTGTCACCCCCATTTACACCTAATTTAAGAAATAAATAACAATAACTGATAAAAACAACTAATAAGAATAGCACATTCTCACACACATCATCCATGATGATTATTTTTGGTTGCATTTAGTAAAAACTGTCTCTAAGGCGGTTGGTTCTTGGTTTGATTGCTCTGTATCGTCTGCCTGAAGGCATATTTGTGTTTTTCCCTTTAGTTTTGTATGAAAAATAAACTTTAAACTACCTCAATTGGTGTGTGCATCCCTTCAGTCATGTACAAAAAAAACCTATTTAAGATCAGATGGCCATACACTTCAAAAAACACCAGAAATAAAGTAATTAATTGTTTTTTTTTGTTCTTTTTTACATGACTAAAGGGATGTACGCCCATTGAGGCAGTTTAAAGTATATTTTTCAGACAAAACTAAAGTGATAAACGGGTACACTGGAAAAAAAGTTATTTTTTCTTAAAATAAGTGCATTTGTTCTTGAATTGAGGAGATAAAAGAGACATTTTGCCAACGGAACAAGACAATTTACATTTAAAATAAGAAAACACAATTGCATTGTCTTATTTCAAGCACATTTTATCTAAATATCTTATTTTAAGAGTAAAAATACTCTAAAACTATCTTATTTACCTACTAAAATTTTGGGTAAATAAACTTAATTAAAGACATTTTAACTTATTTCTAGATTGTTTTTCCAGTGTATCGACTGCACTGCAAAAACTGCCTCAAAATGAGTAAAAATGTCTTAAATTAAGTGTATTTACCCTTAATTTGAGCAGGTAAATTAGATGATTTGCCAATGAAATTAGTATTTTTACTCTTAAAATAAGGTATCTAGATATTATGCACTTGAAATAAGACAATGCTAATTTTTTTTTCTTATTTTAAGAGTAAATTGTCTTGTTCCATTGGCAAAGTGTCACACTTAAATACTTAATTCAAGAAAAATGCACTTATTTTAAGAAGAAATGACTTATTTAGATTAAATTTTTTTGCAGTGTGTGGGTATGCTGGTCTGCACTAGAAAAACAATCTAGAAATAAGTAAAAATTTCTTAAATTATTTGTATTTAACCTTAATTTTAGTAGGTAAATGAGATACTTTGCCAACGGATTGAGTATTTTTACTCCTAAAATAAGATAATTAGATAATTTGCACTTGAAATAAGAATATTTAATTGTGTTTTCTTATTTTAAGTTTAAATTGTCTTGTTCCATTGGCAAAATGTCTCTTTTACCTCCTCAATTCAAGAACAAATGCACTGATTTTAAGAAAAAATGACTTATCTAGACTAGATTTTTTTCCAGTGTGACTGAACACCGGCAACTTCTCTGAAGGAAAACAAGCAGATGGAGAATATATATAGACTA